TTTATACTATGTTGTATAGTTTGAGGAAAATTTTTTAAATACAAGGCTCTCAATATTTTTACACGCGCATATATATATATATGTATGTATGTATATGTATATACACACTTATTATGAACTTGTTTTATTGCTTTTTTATAATTTATCTAACAATAATTTTGAATTACTTGTTGATGGAAGGATTCTCATCATTTCTTTCTTTCTCCTTGCAATTGTTTTTCTTCCTTTCTCCAATATGAAATTTTATCCTCATATTCTTCATATTTCCACCCTATCCTATAACTTTTTCGGTATTCATATCACGTTATTTGCACAATACCCCCACGATATATAAATTCATTGAAATAAATGAAGAAATGGACAAGTTATCGAAGAAGAGAAAGCCACACTAAGATAATTAATTTACATTAAGGGATAATCAATTCATTGAAAGTTTATGATCAGTTGTAAGTTACTAAAAAGGGAATCATCATAAGGATATCTGAACTATGAATTCAAAATTGAGAAAATCTTCCGAAGATATACATTATTTAGTTTTATAAGAAAGAAAAACAAATGAAGGTTACTTAAGAGATTGGTAATAAAACTCTTTATTCGCGTAGTGTAGTTTACTCTAAATTTTTTTTTTGGAGAAATTGAAAAACCTTTTTAATTCTTTTCTTTTTCGTTTTAATTTTTTTTCCTTTTTTTTTCCGCTTATCTTCTTCCTCTTTTCTATCATCCCTACTCCAATCATAGTCAACGCTATTGGCCAACACCTCTCCTACTGGGTACTAATATATTTTTAATATTTAAATTCAAAATAGAAGCTCGTTGCTTTATCTTTTCCTATAATTAATTGAAGCTACGAGACCTTATTTATTTATTCATTCATTCCAACTTTATTTTCTTCCATTTTAAGAATTCGAACCGGGTTTTTCTTTTCTATCAATCTACTAAAAACGAAACATTCTAAAAACTCTTTCTATCAACTCTTTCATTCCCTTTCCGCTGCTTCCCATTTTTTTTCTTCCTTTCTTCGTTTACCTCTTTCTTTCTCTTTCCCTCTTACTCCTCTTTCTTTCCCTTTCTCCCGCCCACCCCCTCTCTTTCTTCCCTTCGACCTCTCCATTTTTCTCTCCTCATCTTCTCAGATTCTCGGCGCCATCCCTTGCTTGATCCAGAATTGGTCTAGATCGGTCTAGATTCGAGTGGATTTGGTCCATATATCGATCTGTAATCTGTGATCTGGACCAAATTTGGATAGTAAAGGGCGGAGGTCATAGGGGATGGGGGGAAGAGAAGGAGAAGGATGAGGAGAGAGAGTGTTGAGAGAAGGGGGAAGAAGGATGAGGGAGGAGAAGAAAGGATGAGAGGGGGAGGAGAAAGGGAAGAAGGAGGAAAGGTAGATAGAGATAGAAAAAAAGAAAAGAAAGGTAGCTGACGATAGCGAGGCAACAATGGTGGCGACGATGATAAGTTGAGGTAGGAAGGTGGTGATAGAAGAGAGAGACAAGTGTGTATTTTAAAAATTTTATAATTTTTTGGAATTACTGTACATAAAATTTGAGAAAAACTTTATCTATTAAAAACTAGCCAAAAAACTAAGCATCCAAGCACATCTTGCTTTGCTTCTCATGTTCACAAAGGCCACTCTAGTTGAACTGCACTTGCCCTTCTAATAGCATCAAATAAGGCCTCTGAAAAACCCTATGCATTTTATTTTACCTCACTCTAATTGTGCGATTTCAACTAGCTTACCAATAGACATAAAAACCAAATTTATCTAAATATTTTCTTGCCTTTATATATCACTTAGCTGGCTAATTTTTATACTATGTTGTCTAGTTTGAGGGAAATTCTTTTAATACAAAAGTCTCAATATTGTTGCTTATATATGTGTGCATGTATGTATGTATGTTTGTATATATGTGTATGTGTGTGTCTATGTATATGCTCATCATCCACTCTTATCAAAATTTGTTATATTATTTCTTTATAATTTATCCGACAATAATCATCAATTACTTGTTCATTGAAGGATTCTTTTCATCTATTTCTTTCTTCTTGAAGTTATTTCTCCCTCTTTTCTAATTTGAAATTTTATTCCCATATTCTCCATGTCCCTTGATTATTTCCATCTTTTTTATGGGTATGTTCTCACATCACATTATTTGCACGACATGCCACAATATATAAATTCATTAAAGTAACTGAAGAAATAGACAAAGTTATTGAACAAGCAAAAGTGATACTAAGAAAATTAATTTGCATTAGGGAATAATCAATTTATAGAAGGTTTATGATGTTTTATAAGTCATAGAATAGGGAATTATCATAGGTATAACTGAATTATGAATTCAAATTTGAGAAAATCTTTTGAATATAAATTTTATTTAGTTTCATGACAAAGAAAAAATGAAGTTAATTTATGAGATTAATTAAAAAAGATTGAAGCTTATGGTTGACAATAAGATTATTAACAATTAGTTTTACAGCTATTAAAATAATTAATTAAGTTCGAAGCTTGTGTGGGTCTATAGGTAAAAGATTATCAGAAAGCTATGTGAGTAAATATTTCCTTTATAAGAATTATTCTCTGCCTTCTTTCATAATTTCTTCTATGCATAACTCCTTTTTGTTTTTCTACGGGAGATCTGTCTCTATGGTCCTTTTTTTCTTATTTGTTTGTATGGAAGTCTCTTATAGGCTCTTGAGATTTTTTTCCTTGTCCTTGAATTTTTAAGTTAGGATTTCTTTTCTCCTAATTTTATCTAATGAGAGTTTCTCCTATCCTTAAATTTATTTTTCAGAGTTATTAGTAATTTTTTTAATGTTATATCTAAGATTTTTTTAGATCTACTTTCTCATAGTTGAAAATTTTTAATCCCAAATTGTTAGATCTAATTTTGGGGAGGGGAGGTCTAAAACAAGTTTGCATTTGATCTGGCCGTTGAAGACACAATTTGAGGTTGCAAAAATTCATCTGATGCTAAAAAATTATTTTGTAGCTTCATAGTGGTAATTTGATGATTTTTCAAATTTCATGTTTTAAATCTTTTTCGTTGGATGCTTATTTTTTATAATGAAATTATTTTGTTTATATATATAAAAAAAAGTTTAGGGCTTGCATGTGTCCTTCATGTTTTGAGAAAAAGACACCACACTTCCATAAAGGTGTATACATACAAAATACCTAGAAATGTACGCACACAACATGCACATATACAATACACACGCGCGCACACACACACACATATATATATATATAGCTGAATGTGTCTGTGTATTTTAAATAAAACTAATATCAATATAGGCAACATAAAAGAAGCGAAAAAGAAAGAGGTAAAAGTAGTGGCCAACGGGGTTAGCAGAACTGGTGGTGGTGCTAAATTGCTAATGTATTTTGAAGATGCTAGCATAAACCAAAAGTAGCTAATGGTCTCTCATGGTATTTGGTTGGGAATTGACGGAGAAAAAGGACAGGGAAAGATGGAACAAGATGCTAAAAGGAGGCACCAATATTTTTGTTTAGATAGTGTATATTTCTACTTTGATAGTTGTTTAGATAGTTTATTATTTGCACAAATTTATTTACTTGTATTATAAGCATATTTTTTAATCATCATTTTTATTTCACATATATTATATAAAAAAGTACTAGAATATTTTTTTCAAAAAATTATTTCAAATAATCTCCTATTCAAATACACTCAATGATTAGGAATGAACTATCTAAAGGAAAACAAGATATAGTTTTAGGGTTAAGGAATAACTACTGAAAGCTTCATCCTGGGTATCTCTTCCTTTCACAATCACACATCCATAAAGAGATGTTCTATTCTGTCCATCCTAATCAAATTTGTTAGATAGAACTGATTATATTAGTAACCATACATTAAGCATATCTTTTGATAATGAGTGGCTTCATCCTTAGTGACAAGGTGCACCTGTATAGATATTTTCTGAGCTTTTGCTCACCAATTGTATAGTTTATACTCATTATTATTAATAAAATCACTTATCTTTTCCGGAGGAAAAAATGGTCCAAACCAAAGCAATTCACTGAAATATACGAAGGGGCTTCAACTTTACACTATTGAAAAGTTTGATAATTTAATCAGTTGTATAGTTTATATAGTCACTATTAATAAAATCACTTATCGTTTCTGGAGAAAAAAAAAGGTCCAAATCAAATCAATTGACTGAAATATACGAAGGGGCTTCAACTTCACACAGTTGAAAAGTTTGACAATTTAATCAACTTATAACCTCATTTTGAAAAGGTGGAGCATGTACTTGTTGGTGAAAATCTATATACACCATTAATTTGGATTCAAGACATTAACATTTTTCTCTTGCTGTTCATATGAAATCACAATGAAAGATTCACCGTAAGACCTTACTCTCTTTTTCATCTTTTACCAATACCTCACTATGTTCTTTTGATCTTAAAAAAAAAAAGAACAAAAAAACTTATGCTTACCAAAAAATTATTTTTTTAAAAAAAACTTGTTTCTTTCATTAAAAAATTTTGTCTTTAGTACTACTTATAAAATTGTCATAGTTGCACTAACTCGGGAAAAAGACCCATTAATCCATCAAGGACAAAGCCAATTGACCAGCCATAAGAATTTGTTTGCCCAAAATCCTTTCTACTCAACCCATCACCAACTCAGTACCTTAGTCTAACAAACCATAGTAAGCCAATCCAAAAGTTTCACCTATAAATAAGTGTTTTCTCCATTCTTTTGACAATCCTTTTTTGAAGTCTTCTTTCACAATCCTTAGAAAACACAAATCGTAGACCCCTTATTATATTTTGTCTCCCTTCCATTACAAATCTAGATCTATCTCTTCCCATCCCAAATTCCACCTCCCAAAAGTCCCAACTCTCAATTTAACATCCCCATCCTTTTCTTTTTGCTTTTCTCTTCTTTCTTTTAACCCCCACAAAAACCCTAAAATTAATTTTAGGGTTTTTTTTTTTGGGGTTGAAACACCCTAAAATTAGGTTTGGACTACCGATACAAATCTCCTAGAATATTAGGCATCAAAAGAGAGAAAACAAAAGTCCATTCTTTAGAGTCACTCTTCAAGTCTTTACCCGTCCGAGAGAAATCGACAATAACAACTCTCTCAATTCTCTCTTCTTATTTCTCAAGTCTCGAGAGCGGAAAAAAGTCGTTCTTTTAGGCTTTAGGGTCCCCTTCTCCAAATATTTGGTCTTAACACCCTCTCCACAGGAAAACAAAACAAAAACAAATCGAAATCAACATCCCAAATCCCATCCTCTCAAATTTACACTGGTACGTTTCTCTTCTTTTCCCCTCTTTTTTTTCCCTTTCCCTAGTAGCCCTCAGAATAATTATCTGTATTCTTTTTTTTATTTGCAATTATTTTTGGGTTTTCTACGGAAGGGCCTGGTTCTGTTCAAACCTTAGGAAGGAAAATTTAAAAAAAAAAAAAGAAAAACCCAAGCTTTGATTTCCTTTCCCTGACCCCCCGACCCCGTCTCCCCCTCTTCCCTCTTTCTCTCTCTTGGGCATTTTCTAGAGAGAGAGAGAGCGGCACTCGAATTCTTGGGGTCCGAAAAAAATTTATTTTTCCCCCAGATAATCTGATGTATCAAAAACTTCCCGCCAAAGAAACCCATTTCTCCTTACAAACCCACTTGATTGATTCCCTCGCTTAAGCTCCAAAACCCTTCTTTGGATTTGTCCCGCCCATTTCTTCACACACTTGCGCACACTCATTTCACACACACACTGCACAATCATACACCGTGTGAAGTACTATTATTGTCATCATTTTTTTTTTTGGTTTGTTTGTTTTGTTTTGGCATAGGCTTCGCTTTGTGGATGAATGTAATGAGTTGTTTTTAGGGCTTGAATTCACAAATTAATGGCAGGGTGGTTGAAGAGAGTTGATGGGTCAGGTCTAGAAAGCTTCAAATTTAACCGGAAAGTTGAAGAAGCGAAGCAGCCTTCCTGGTTGGATCATAACAGCCCTGTTTCTAAAGGGTCTGTCAGTGCTAGTACAACTGCTGCAAAACGAGAAGAAGAGAAAGGTTCCAGTGGTAATCTTAAGTCTTCATTCGATGAATTTTTGCCTGTTTTTCTCAAAAAATCTTTTGGGATTCTGTGTTTTAGACCATTGCCTCCAATGCTGGGTAATGGGCAATCTGTAGATTTGTTTAAAGTTTACTTAAATGTTAGAGATAGAGGTGGACTTGAGAAGGTTTCAAAAACTGGGCAATGGGGTTCGGTGGCTCTGGAATGTGGAGTTGATTCAAGTTCAGCTTCGGCTTTGAAGTTGGTTTATGTGAAGTATTTGGATACATTAGATAAATCTTTGCAGAGAGTAGTTAGAGGTGAGAGTTCAGAAAGAGGAGCGAACGAGAGTGGTTTGGATATTTTAAAAGAGTTGCTCATGGATTTGGAGTCTGATTTGAAGGGGTTTTTATCAGGGATTGTAGATAACAAGAAGAAAGATGGAGAAGTTATGAGTGTGGAGTTGAAGAAAAAGGAGTTCGATTTTGAAAGTGGTGGAAAATTTGCTAGACTTGATGAAGTTGGAGGCCTCGTCAAATTAAATGGAGATGCTGAGGATGGAGACAAAACTAGTGCTGCTGATGATGGAGGCGAGTGTGGTTTTGTGAGTTTTGATGTAGAGGAAAAACCTGATGGTGTTGATAATCTTTTTGAGGTTGGCATTAGGGAAGAAAGAAGGATGGAGGATGGTGATACACAATTGGATTCGAGTAGTAGGAAGGAAGATCTTGTTAGGAGAAAGAGGAGGCGGGAGAGCTACTTGAGCATGCTGAAATGGATTAACAGGGTTGCGAGGGATCCCTGTGATCCGGCAATTGGGTTCTTACCAGATAAGTCCAAGTGGAAGTATTACGCAAATGACTTGGTCTGGAAACAGGCTCTGTTGGTTCGAGAGGCAATGATGTCAAAAAGGAACTCCGAGTCAAGTGATCAACATTCAATTTTGCAGGTATACACTGACAGTTTTGTATCCTTTGTGTATATAAGTATCAAGATGAACATAAAAGGTGAAAGTCTGAATGAAATTTGTTTTGAATTTTTCTTCATTGTCAGTCAGCTTATGCTGCATAGATATTATACATGGTTCTTCATTTTGGCTCTCTTTTTTGTTGATGTAAGTCTGGGGTTAACATGATTAATAAGCTGTTCATTAAATAGGGCCGCAGGTATTTTCTTTGATCAAAGCAAAAATCAGAGGCATCAGCCTTTAATGGCCTATCTTATAACACATCTTCAACGTAAAAATATCAAGACTGGCTTTGGAGTAATTCCCCTGCAACACTAACTTCTGTCGTATTATGGAGCTTTATACATGGACCATACAGTAATTGTTGGAGTAAGTTATTGCCAAAAGATCCATGAAACTCCACTTAACTAGGAAAGAATTTTATCTAACTGTTCTTAGGAATGTGGATATACTAAATTGTTTCAGGTTATTTTTTTCCTAATACAACTCTCCCACTACGTTTGTTGGCCATTCTCATCACTAATAATTAGGTTGTATTAGATTACAGAATTCACTTATTTGTCTCGTGAAATAAATATGCTTCTTGTCAATTACTGAATCTTACCAAACATGTAATATCTGTTTTTGGAAGGAGTCCTGGGAATCATGAGACTTCTAATTCTGGTGCAACTCAGCCCACCTAATCCAATCACGCATGCGCCCAAAATAAATATCATATTAACAACGTAGGTCAACAAGAATCTAGCAGTGTAACTTAACTTAGCAAAGTACACTCCTGAATATTTCGTGATGGCTAATTCCTATTTCTCTGTTATAGCTTGACTTATAGGCTAATTCCTTTCTTGAGTTACATCTTTTCACATGCTGTTTGCAGTAGCTTCTATCTTTCTCTCTTTCTCTTACCATAATATATAGATTGCTGCATTTTGATGTGGGTTTCTACTGAGCAAGCATGAATCATGTTTACTGCACTTGTGTATGAATTGGGTTGCTGCCAGGCAGGTATGACGATCAGATATTACTTGAGAGTGTTGTGGGTTTTAGGTGAAAAATCTAATTGAGGATTTGCAGTTTAATTCCACTATTTATCCTCATCTAGAACTGGAAGGACAAAATTGTCAAATGAGTTACTTCTTAATCAGCATATATATTTTCACCTCAAACATTTTTGGCATTTCTCGTGCCTTCTGTTTTGCTAAGTGATTACAATGGCATTCACACTAGGGAAAAGCAACAGTGAAGTGCAGTAAACATCACCTGCCTCAGCCTTCAGTTTTCCTTATACCATTATTCATGATTACTCAGTTCACCTCCTTGTTTTCTTATACGAGGAAAAGTTTGAGTTCAGTTGGACTCTTTTTGACTCTTCTGTGTTCAGTAATCTGTACTCGTTTGAAGGAATATGTATTTGCATTGTTATAGACTTCACAAAAGGAAGGACACTAATCTGCTGTGGATAATGGCAGAAACATACCATTTTAATTTTGCCTAAGGTTTTCTTTATACATCCATTTTACGATCTCAAGATGTGACCAATTGTCCTTTTCTTGCCACTAATATGATCGAGCTCTGTTACATTTTATAGCTGAAATGAATTTTTCAACTTAATTGAATTCTTCCTTTTATAGTCATGTCCTGTTGTCGTCTTTTGTGCATATGCGATTAAAATTGTTGAGCAGCAGATGATGATTTTTGTGTTTGCAGAAGAAACAAAAGATGCATCCAGTCTTGTATGATGATCAAGTTGGTTCTGAGAGACAGAGATTCAGCCAGAGGCTACTTTCTGCAAAAGATCCTTCAAAAAAGTCAAGGGCCCGGAATTTCTCAGAGTCGTGTTCTTCTGGTACTCAAAGTGATGAGGAGTTCAATGACACACAGTCTGATTCCTCTTCAGATTCAGAAGCTGATTTTGTGGGGAGTCGTCGTCATCGGAAAAAGCGTATTCCTTTGGGGCCACAATTTCAAGCAGATGTTCCAGAATGGACTGGGAAGGCTTGTGAAAGCGATTCTAAGTGGCTAGGTACCCAATATTGGCCACTTGTAAGAGTAGAACAAAATAGAAACTTAATTGAAAGGGAACGCATTGGAAAGGGAAGACTAGATTCGTGTGGTTGCCAAATTCCTGGTTCCTTGGAATGTGTTAGGTTCCACGTCTCTGAAAAGAGGACGAGGGTGAAACTTGAGTTGGGGCCTGCATTTTATCGATGGAAATTCGACAATATGGGTGAAGATGTTGCACTTTCTTGGACAAAGGAAGAAGAGAAGAAGTTCCATAATATAGTGAAGTCAAACCCTTTGTCTCTTGGCAAGTGTTTCTGGCATGAAATTGTTAAAGCTTTTCCAAACAGAAGTAGGGAATCACTGGTAAGCTACTACTTCAATGTCTGCCTTCTCCATCGCAGAGGTTACCAGAACAGAGTAACACCAACTGACATCAACAGTGATGATGATGAATCAGAGTCCAGCTACGGTAGTGCCAAACCTCCTGGCTCAATCTTTTGTTCGCCGAAGAAGCCACATCTGAATATAGGATGATAGCATGGGGAAGGATAAATTGGCAAATCTGCGTCAACGGTTCTGTTCAAAGTGTAAATTGCGGAAGACTTTTTTGTTGCTTTTGTTCGGCAATTTAGAATATACCATAGATGGTTGTGCAGATTGCATTTTGCTGGTAAAGTTTCGTTTTTACTTCTCAAGACATAACATAGCTAGAACTACCTTTAATGACTGTGGAAAAGCACAGTGAAAAGTTTACTTCAATTTAATGCAAATTTTACTCTAATGTACCTGCTGTATGATTTCTCAAGATATACTTCTAATTCTTGTAGGGCTGGCAACGGGGCAGGGTTGAGGCCGAGAACCCCTCTCCCGCCTGCTGTCCACTAATTCCCCTTGGACCCCCCGCCCCCCACTTCTCCCACCTCTCAGTAGTTGTGTCGTTTGATGAAAATAGTAGTGATAGCAAGGATTTAAGTGTTGATTTATTTGCTGTTTTTCTCGCGGAGTTAATAAAAAGTTATCATTTAATTTTTTTATAGTCAAATTTTAACAAATAATTAAGTACTAAAATATCAACATATTATCAAGTTATTGTTCATTATAATTTCACAATTGAGATCCATAAAAATAGTCAAACACGAGTTATTTTAATACAATCTAACATCATGAAATAAATATAGGTAAAGTAGTCAAGTTTTTACTTTTGACACAAATATAATTATTAACTCATTATTGTATTTTTTTTGAGAAAAAAAGTGTTATTGTATTAAGTGTAATTAGAAATTTAGTATAAATGTATTAGCTAATTAGTATAACTATTAATAATTTCTATTAGTAGACATATATAATTATTAGTATAATTGATAATATCAATTATATTACATACACTAAAATTTATTATGTAATACATATAACTAATAATATCATTATTATAAGTTTGTAACTAATTAAATTAAATATTATATATAATTATATACATACATTTATTTATTATTTTTTTGACAGATGACAAGATGGGGGAATCCCCTGCCCCTGCCTCGTTTCTAAATGGGCAATGTTTCGAACCGGCCATGGCACCAGTTCGGTTCTATGTCATTGTTGACTTTGTCAGAAAATCGGTCAAAAATTGATCGAACCGTGAAAACCGCCGAACCGGATTGAATCGGTGGTTTCTGATTTTCAACTTTCCTTTTTTTTTATTTAAATTTTGCAAAATGCAGCTATCAAGATTCATTATTTAAGTTTTGCAAAATGCAGCTATCAAGATTCAAACTCAAGAACTTTGTAATAGAAGACCAATGTATTAACCGTTGCACCATCACATCTTATTAGTTTTTTTTTTATAACTTATTTATGTAAAACAAACACTCATATTTCTTTTTTCTATTTTTCTTACAAAATCTCATCCTCTCATGGCTCTTTCTTTTTAATCTTCAACTCTCTCTCTATCCTCTTTTCTTTTGTCACTCCCTTTTTAATCAAACCTCTTTATTTTTAATTTATTGATGTTTTCTTCCATCTTTTAATTTTGTTTTTGTCCATTAAATTGGAAAAAGTTAAAAAAGAATTATTTTTCTTTAACCCAAATTATTTAATGCCACAACCACTCACTTTTATCTCATTTTTAGTTTCTTATCATGTTTACATTTCTATTTTCGATTCTCTTGACTTCCTTCGAACTCCAAACTTTCTTTTTTAAAATGCAATCTCTAAATTCCAAAACGTAAATTAAAATTTAAGTTCACAATATCTAAATTCTCATAGACGTGAATTTTGTATAATTTCAAAATATTGTGATATTTTTGGGTTGGATTTAGATATAAGTGAAATTGAGATGAAATTTATTTGTTTTAACTTATAATTTAAAATTTTTATTTTTAAAAATCCAAGTTATTAAAAAATAGTAAACTTTTCATCATATAAAGTATTAAATTAGTCCATTCCATGTCTTATTTTGTGCATATATATATTTATATAAATTATTTTTAAAAAAATTCATTGAACCGGAATTGAACCGGTCCGACCGGTTGAACCTCGACCCTTTCACTTTACCGGTTCAATTAACGGTCCGGTTTTTACAACATTGTAAACGGGAGAAAAAATTCCCCCGCCCCGATTGCAATCCCTAAATTATTGCTGATCACGAGAGCAGTGATTTCTTGTCCTCACAAGTTCTTGTTTCTTGGAAAAATAAAAATGAAAAAGAGAGGGAGAGAGGAGAAATTTTCTGTGAACCCAAAATTTGACTGAACTGCCCAACCTAAAAAGGTCCTAAACCAATGCGACTGTGGCGCGTATCAAATTGCCTTGTCGAGGATGGAACTGGGCTGAAATTGGGCGATCTAATCAAACTTTTGGACAGCCCAAATTTGACTTTCCAGTGGATCACTTGAACTTCTTAAGAAAAGAAACCCAAATTATGGGCTTCAAACGGGGAAAAAGGCCTTCAAAGGAAAAAAATTTAAAAAAAAAATTGCAAACAAGAAATAACAACAAATGCAGCATGTAGTTGCTCAATCTGTGTGCTTTAAAATAGAGCAGTGGGTTTGGTCTTAATTCAGAACAGTACCATTTGAAATTGTCATTCTACTTTTGATTGTAAAGAAAATAATATCCTATAGCCAGGTTAGTTTTTAACAAATCTATGGGGGAAAAAAAATCCCTTGTACTCTATATATAGCAAGATGAGATCCTATATCTGTGTTTATTTCCAGATGAACAGGGAAAACCTATGTACCCTATAGTATATACTGCATTTCAAGTGTTTTCTAGGGTTGAACATTTTCCAATTTGATTTGAAAAAGATGCTGTACAAGAAAACAAAATAAGAAACTGAAAGGCACCTTAGAGAAAATCTGAATTTGAGTTTCTTTCTTTTTTTACGTTGGATATACTTAAATTTGTGTATCAGATTGTGTAGTGTTGGGAACAAGAGTGAAGGTGAAAAATGAAGGAAGGGATGGGGTACACAAGACATGGTGAGGTCAAGAGAGTAAAAATTCTAGTATCATTGTCTTAGGCCCGTTTGGGTTGTGGTGGTTCTGATAAAAAAGCACTTTTGGATATTAAAAATATTTTAAAGATGTTTGGTGAATATCATCGCATAAAATTGGGAGTGAAACTTTTCGTATTAAAAGTACTTTTAGCAAAAGTTCAAATTTAGTACTATCAAAATAGTTTTTATGTTTTAAAAAGTAAAACATTAAATTTAATGATTTCATCTTATATTATGAACTAAATAAAAGATAAATATATTTACAAAATTTTAAATTTTACACTATTCAATACAATAAGTGTTTATTAAACTATATATTCAAACAATATATTTAAAAGCCCTTAAATACTTAATAAGTGTTTTTATTAAAAACTCTATTGGTGAAATGTTTTTCAATAAATTACCACAACCCCAACCATACCCTTAATTTCCTGAGGGCCATGGAGTTTAAAAGTGGTTTGAGCGTCGTACTAGTTTCCCAAAATTAATTATTTTTTTCATCGCATAAAAAATATTATAAATTAGCTTTGAATATCAACAACAGTTTTTTTTTTTTTGAGAAAATTCAAGTTAAGAAAAATAGGTATATGAGCAACACTGTTCAGGGAAAACATTAAATCCCATCATGGTTTGGTATAATAACAAATACAATTCAGTCTCCCGATCTCAATGAGATAATGGAGCTCACAAATTTTATCTTTTGTACATTCCGGTTCCATTTGATCGTTTCATTCGTGAGTTCCACAATGGCCAAAAAATTCAGCTAAGGTCGATTTCATTTGTAGAAGAATCTACAATACCCCTTTTGTGCAATACAGTGGAATGTAGCATGGTGGGTTTTTATTATACTAGTGCTCAATGCACATCCAATGCGTGTGAAATCAAAAAATACATAATATTTATGGTCAGATATTTTAAATAATTTTTTTTTACTGAACCAAACTTTAATCTTTTAAAAACTTTTCATAAAATAATTTTATATTGATAATTATAATATTTAGGGTTAATTATGTTCAAAGCAAATACTTAAATAGTTAAAAATAAAAATAGATAAATAATTAAATAAAATGATAATAAATGTTAATCCCAATGTTAACACCAAATCCATTTCTCACGCTTAACGTATAGAATGGATGTTGGGGTGCCGTGTAATCAACAAATTGTGCGGTTCACTTAATTGTGCCACATGTTTTTCAAAAAAATTGTGAAAAAATTGTGACATATGTAACTTTGGCTTAAGTTCAAGAAAAGTCCGATTGCTTACTCAGTCTCTTTGACAGTATTTAATGAATAATGACTAGATATGCAACTGGTGACAATGATGTTGGATCACTACTTCAAATCTCAAAAAAAGAAAAAAAGAAAAAAAAAGGGCATGGTTGAAATGATTAAAAGTAAGAATAAAAGTACTCTGATTCCTTTCTGCCCATTCTGCCTATAATATGATCAAGATTAGTCTGACATTATGCCTAACTTATTATGTGAACACACACTTATATTTATATTATACTCTGCATATAAACACTTTCTCTAATTTTTTTTTTTTGTGTTAAAAAAATTAATACTTGAAGCGTCTCTTGACTTTATCCAGAAGTCAGCAATTGCCTTTTGGTAAACCGGTGGATTCACCTTAGATCCGGGTGTGTGTGTTTCTTATGGTTGAAAAAGTCTCTTGACTTGTGCCATTCGCTATTAACTAGCCAAACCATCATATTTCTATATAGTATATACTCTACAAATCTTTTAAAATTAATTAGTAACTCGTCGCAGTAGAATTGAGAGGGCTTTCTCTCCCCATTGGGTAGATTAACTGCGATTCACTTTGTCATTCTTAAATAGAATGGCAGCTGCCAAATTTGAAGTTTGAGTCATGTCGACAGGAATAATGCAATGACTCTCGAACTTCTTCTTTTTTTTTTTTTTTTTTTTTTTGTCGCCTATCGTCACTATTTATATCTACTTTTACTTTAACTTATATTAAAGGAATGATCCTCTTACTTTAATCTATATTAAAGGGATAATTCGACATGATTTATTTTAACTCATACGAAGGGGTGATCCTCTTACTTTAACTTATATTAAGAGGGTGATCTAGGGGTGCAAACGAGTCGAGTTGAGTCGACTTTTGATCTAATTAAACCGAGCCTCCAGTTAATTTTATGAAGTTCGAACTCGAGCTCAAAATGTCAAGCTCGACCTCGAGTTTAAAAAATAAAAAAATAATAATTATTTCATTTTTAAAAAATAAAAAATAATTTTTTATTTTTAAAAATGAATAAAATAATAATTTTTAAGAAATAATAAAATATTAGAAATATATATGTAATTTTACTATTAAAATAAAAAATAAAAAAAAATATAATCGTGCTTGCAAACCGCTCGTAAACCAACGAGCTTAATGTTTTTGAACTCGAACTCGAATTCGAACTCGACTTGATTAGCTCGAACTCGATATTGACCGAGCTCGAGTCGAGCTCGTATTCGAGCTGCATGTGAGCCGATTCGTGAACAGTCCTAAAATGATGCAACGGAATCACGGAAATCGATGAAAACTAAATTACCGTCAATCATATAGATTTAAGAGAAGTCACTTTAAATAACAACTTTTGATGAGATAGGTGGTGGCCAAGTAATTCGCTTGGGTCTTTTCTCCACCCCTCTATCTCCCTTTCCCTTTGTTTTTTCCGCCTAATAAGTTGTCTAATTAGCTGGATTCACCTTGGACGGCACACGCTGATTCAGGAAACAGAATTGTACAGCAGACAACCTTTTCAACCCTCTGTTTTGGCGCTTTTCCACTATCCATCAGAAGACCCCATGACGGTTTAAGCTACTTTGGCAGCTTATTAAGTGAAGTAGAATCCCAAAAGAAAAAAATGAATCTTGAATGATCACATGATCAAGCCTCAAATTTAGGTTCAGGAGCAGTGGGAAGAAAGAATTGACGTCTATGTTGAGTGTAGTGCCAAAAATCTGGCAGGATAAATATTCTGTCTTATTGGGCTCATTTTGAGAGTGGAAAAATCTGTACTTAGAATCAAGCAGCCAAAACAAAAGTCAGTTCATGCTCATATGCATATCTAAAGATTTGCTGTTCAAACAACAGAATCCGCAAATGCTTTGCACAATTGATTCAGTCATCCCACACTACTGTTTGATTTCCGTAAGATCAGGCTTGAAATTTGTACATATAAGATCAACTGCTTGCCTGGTTAGTGTACTTGGAAGTGAATCCCATTATTGAGTTTGCTTTTTACTTGCATTGAAGCCAGAAGAATTGTTCTAACAAGTTGGTTGGAATTAGGCTGGATTGGAGTAATTGCTGAACAGCTTTCTTGATGCACGAGGAATGTGACCATTGGAGGATATGCACAGAAAAGAGTTGGCAAGTCATGTTGTCAACTTTCTTGGTTGCTTGCCATTTTTCAAATAACATATTTTTCAATCATATTTTTACCTCACATATATCAAATCGTTATAGTAATTTTTCTACAAATAATCCAGAAAAATGCAATCCAAACAAGGCAAAGTTTGTTTGGATTGTAAGTTATTTGAGATATTTTACTGTAGCACTTTTTGTGATGTGATGTATGTGAGATAAAAAGGTAATTGAGAAGATAAAAAGGTGTATTGAAAATTGTAATGATGATGTAAACAAATATATTTGAGAAAATAATCAGTTGTCCAATATAATCACAAGCAGTCATTTGTTTATTAAATTAGTAATTGTTTTGATAGCCATTTTTTGTGCCGGAAAATTGCGTCGTTTTCCGTGTTCACGTTTCCCTATTACCTTTTTTCCTCACATACATCAGATCGCTACAGTATTTTTTCTACAAAAAATCCTAGAAAATGCAATCCAAACACAAATTTTGCTAAAAAAGAAACAAAATAATGGTTCACTTTAAACAATAATAATAACTCACATCTGACTCATGCCACCTGAGTTACTAATTAACCAATAAAATAAAAAAAAATTAATTTTGTTAAGCTATATGCGAAAATCTAGTGTTAGAATCTTTTTAACTTGGTTTCAATTTTGTAGTTCAACAAAAAAAAAAAATCTTGTACTAGTAAATTAGGTACTTATGTACTGGTACATTAGTTATTAGTCTTTAATTTTGTAAATTAAAGTTAGTTATTATTTTTCAATTTATCATATCTATAATGATAGTAATTTTAGAATTTGATCCAGACAGCTCCGTAAATACCTTAACCAGATAATACTCCCTCCGTCCCACTTTGATAGTCCTGTTTTTCTTTTTCGTCTGTCCCAAATTGTAGTCCACTTTCCAATTGAAGAATGTAGTTATATTTTAATTTTCCTAAAATATCCTTATTCAATGTAAGTTGTTGTTACTATAAACCTACCCCATTTAATGAGAGTTGATTCTTTTTTTACTATCAATTCAAGTTCCCATAAAGTTGTACTCTAATTAATGTGAGGGTATTTTAGGAAAATAACTACTTAAATTGATTGTTCCAACATAATTAATTACTTTTTCTTAAATTGGGTGAAAAAAAATCAGGATTATCAAAGTGGGACGGAGGAGTATAACATATCAAGAAAACAAACCATTTACAAGTAATTTCTTCAAAAATGAAAAAAAAAAGAAGGAGAAGAAAGGAAAAGAGTAGTAGTATTTATTAGTGATTCTGGAAAGGAACAAGACACCATGTCGACACAGTGATCTTATCAGGTGTAGGAAGGATTTATTCTATTTTTTGGGAAATAAAATCTAATACGACTGTTGAGTAGTATTATTTAAAGGTTTGCGTGGCAACGTAATAATGGCAAGAAGAAGAGGAAGAAAGGTGTCACTACCTCAAAGGATTACAGCATACAAGAGGAAAGGAATCTTGAAAATGGAAGGCTCATTATGCTTTGATCAAAATTAAAATTTCTATTCCAAAATTTAATCTTTCTAATTAAAGTATATCACAGGGGTTAGTATCATAATCCATGAATATTCTATTACTACTATTCCCTCTCTCTGATAAGTTCTGATCCTACTCTTTTTCTTTCTTTCTTGTGTCGGCTCTTCTTTTGCTTATCTGAGTTGTTGAAGACTTGAAGTAACTTATTTCTTCCCTTTTTTGCGTCACCTTTTCTCCTCCTCTCCACCAGAAGAAAATCATCAAAAAGAGATTAAAAGCCGTGCCAAGAATCAAGACGAAAATCATGTCTTCCCCAAGCAAACGCAGGGAGATGGACTTGATGAAACTGTTAAATCCCTGATCAATCCTTTTAAATTTTTTGGATTTCTTTTTCTTAGATTGGATTGACTTTTCGATTTATGGGCTTTTTTCTGTTTTTGAATTTTTTGGGTTTTTTTTTTTGTTGAATGTTCATTTGTACAGGATGATGAGTGATTACAAGGTGGATATCATCAATGATGGCATGCAAGAATTCTATGTCCATTTCCATGGACCTAATGACAGTTAATACTTCATCCCTTTTCTATAATGACAGTTATATCAATTTCTGGATCTTTTCTTTCTTTGTCTTGGCTGATAGTGCTTTTCTAGATTGAGCTCTTGTTCAAAATTTTTATGTATCTGCTAATAAATCTCGTTCAGCCAACGAGAACCATCTGTTAATATTATTTACTGTAAAAACGAAAGAAAGAAAATTTATGGCTCTGCTTCAGTCAATGCAAAATTGATGCAAATAGTTGATATCTGATTAGTGAAAAGGTTATTCTTGCAGTTGCAGCACATGCTGAAATTTTATTTATTTCCTTTATTTTCTGTCTCGTGGTTATTTACCCCTCCATTTCTGGTTCGAGATTTAGGGAAAGTGCATACTAGAATTGTTGGTTGTGTCTTGTTTGTTAACTAAAATGTGTCGTTCTTTAGCAATTCTAGAAGGATGGAAACTCTTTTAGCTGTTACAGACACTGTCAAAAGAGCTTCCTTTTTCTACCCAGTGGACATTTGCATTAGACCTGAAAAAATTGTTCATGTGATTAAAGTTACTGATGAAGATACTGGAACCAGCATAATTCTCTGTTCTGAACAAGACTTTGTTTAGTTTCTTTTTTTTTCCTTTTTCTCTTGCTTTCACCATTTTTTAAGACCATTCAATGAAATGTGCCAGGTCCTTATCATGGTGGGGCGTGGAAAATCAGAGTGGAGCTTCCAGATTCTTACCCTTACAAATCTCCATCCATAGGATTTATTAATAAGATCTACCACCCAAATGTTGATGAGATGTATGTATTTAGTTACAAAACTCTATTACTGTCTGCTTGATGATATCCCAGCGTTACTGTCATCTGAAAAAATGAAGTCTTTGATGATGTTGAATATATACTTTCAGGTCTGGCTCAGTTTGTTTAGATGTAATTAATCAGACATGGAGCCCGATGTTTGGTAATAATATTGAGTTCTTAGATTTCTTTTGGACTACGTACTCTCTCAGTTTGCTGATCTCAACATATGAATCAATCTATCCCTTTCTTGTTTTTTGAATGACCAAGTAGTATATTTGATGTTGGAAACATGTTCTTTGTAGATCTGGTAAATGTATTCGAAGTATTTCTCCCACAGCTTCTTCTATATCCGAACCCATCAGACCCTTTGAATGGGGAGGCAGCTGCTTTGATGATGCGTGATCAAACTGCTTACGAACAAAGAGTTAAAGGTACCTTTTGATTTGGAATGTAAGAAATCCTGAATATGCTTTCCTTTCCTAATTTGTTACTCTGTGTGTTTGACATATATACAAGTAGGATATTTTCTCATAGTTCTTGAATATGTCAAAATACATAAGATGAGTCAAGCCTTAAATATAATTGATGCGGGTCTTATACATTATTCTTGTAATTTTCTCAAATTATTTGAGTATCATGAGACTTAAAATAGATTGTTGATGTGATCTTGGCCATGAAAATTTCGATGCTCTTTAAACGTTTTTGTTAGGAATTTCTCCTGCTTTGAATTAGCTAGATACAACACATCTATGGGAATTCATGTGAAAGTTTGTTTCCGTGATGTTTATCAGTTCAATTTCACATACTAAGCTTGAATCATGATTACATTGCATTAGCTTGTGCTAGGTTTTCAAGCAGTGCAGATAGGTAATGAGATCCAAGTAGGATTCGGCTTTCAACAGTATTCCCATGTAACATTCTGCTTTTGCAATGTTGGTTCAGTTCTCTTGAAATCTGAAAGTGGGCTTGCCTTTATCTTTAGTCTGTTATACTATTTTGAAGGAAGCATCAAGGATCTAGGAGACAGCACACACCCAAAATCTGAGAGTTGAAAGAAAATACATGAAACTTCCACATGAACCATGAGCATGTGCCACCTAAGCCTGCCTGAAAATGGGAATCTTTTATTGTGGTTTATGTTTCTCAGAAAAATCAATAACCTTATTTTGGATTTTTTTTAGATGCTGTTTAATATTTGATCTGAGCAGATAAGCAAATGCACTCCTATTGATTAAATTGATATAAGTTTTCCTGCTGCATGATTATGCTCATTTTCATGGACTAATTGAGTGCTTTTCCTATTCACTAGTATGCTGCGCGCTACAATTAGCAGCCCCTTTAGCTTAAGGGGATAACTTGTCAACAATATCATATTTCAGATTTATGGAGATACTAAGTGGATTCTAATTCAGTCTACTTCACCTTTCAGTCCTCATGATTACATATGGAAGTTTCTTGTAGTCACTAAGATGGTTCTGACTCTTTTGTAGTCATTGTATGGCAAGGGAATCCTATGAAAGATCTTTAACTTTTTCTGTTCAGGCAGGATTGTTTCACACTGTCCTCGGGAAAACATACAAGATTGAAGAATGATGTTATCTGTTCTGACCTGGCATGAGTATGCTCACTAGAAAACACATGTAGGTTTAGGGCTGAGTGGGTAGAAGGAAAAGATAAATGCGAGTAAAGGTATAGTATGTTAATTATGCTGTGACCTTTAATGGTAGGTTAAAAACACGCAGCTGCAGATTTGTCTATCGTGGAATCTCTGCCACTGTCGGCTATGTTTCATTTCTCTTTGATAGCTGTTAGAATTGAGTTAATCAGTCTGTCGACCAGTTCCTGGCTTGAGGTCAGAAAGAGAGGAAACAAATGAAAAGGCGGTCATGACTACATTTTAACCCAACAGTTAATTGTCTGTTAACAATCCATGGATATACTGCTGTTTTATGTTTTCCCATGAAGTACCTTTAGCCTTGTCAGCCAATAGAGCAAGACAATACTGGGCCTTAAGCTCACACGGGATATTGATTCAAAGGGCTCTTAAAATTTCAGACTTTGTATCTGTTTCGTCTAGCTATCACAGGTTCGGATGATTAATTTGCCTCAACCCCCTTTGCCAGCTTTACTGGTTCCACTCTGTAGTAGTCTGGCAGCACTTAAAAAGTTTTTTACCCGATTGAACAGTTTATCTTTTTATGAGTTGAACATACTTTCTCTCTTGTTGCCTGCATGGTCATGCAAAAATAGTTCGATTCACCCATGCATTGATCATGCAGAATATTGTCAGAAATATGCCAAGCCAGAAGATGTGGGAGCAGTTCCCGAGGAGAAATCAAGTGATGAGGAGCTAAGCGAAGATGAATACGACTCTAGTGATGACGCGGTGGCAGGCCCAGTGGATCCTTAGCCCCTCCTAGTCCTAGTGGTTACTTGTACCTCTACATGATTCTCTGGTTCCTGCATAATTGAACCTGAACCTATTCATTGGGAAGGGATGCAAAAGAAGAAATCCCAGCCCTTAACATTAATTCTCTCGTGTAAATATATCCGGTGCTAATACATTGCTTTTCTATTTCTGTTTATATGTTTACTCTTGGTGGTGCATTAAATTTGGCAATGTGGTTGAAATTTAGGCTAAGCAAGTAATTTCTGCATTTTCGGTGAAATCCCATTTAGGCTAAGCAGGTAAGTCCTGCCCCAATTTTCCCGTCACACTACACTACTACATTTTCAATGCCAAATTGATTTCATGGCCCAGACATTGTTTATAACTACTAACTCTAGGGTGTGAGCTAAACTGCATCTAAAGTGACTGAGAATCTGTTTGGCTGCTTCAAACTTGATTCAAAGAAGCTAAATATAGTGCCTTGTGAATTGTGTATTGCTGCATAAAAGCAACCATCTTTTAAAATCAGTTGTTGTAGCCGTCTGTCTCTGCAAAAGGAACTGAAATTACGACATGAGACTTGGTTTTTCTCTTGCTCTCTCTGTTTTCACGTGGTGAAGAGCGGACGGGGGACTCTCAAGGCTTAAAACAGTGGAGGGTGAAGTGACCAAAATCTTTTTGACCAATTTGCGCGCTCATGGATCAGAAGAAAAGAAAAAAGTGCAGACGCTATTTTGCCAAAATATTTCATGAGACAGGATTATTCTCTTCTGTTGAGGAGATTTTTTCAGAAAATCTCAAAGTCTAACATTGAGGAAAAAGTGAGGCTGATCTGACTTTTTGAGTCTTGAACCAGTCAGATGAATGAGAAGAATACTCAAAATGTGATGGTTCTGGGATTATACTCGGCAGGCATAAGAAAAGAGGAAACAAAATACAGATCACGGATAGCAAGAAGGGCCATTTTTGACACTATGGGCTTGCCTTACGTATGCTTGCTTAGAAATCGGCTAATTAAAATACTTTTTTTGATTAAGTCGAGTCAATAAGAATTTACATGCTCATCCCAAAAGAATTATCTCGAAAGTAGAATCTTACTGGTTTGATTTTGCCATCTTGATCACGCTTCCATGTTGGAATGATAAATAGTTTTCCGAAAAAAACCATTTTCTTCCACTACACTGGTTAAGGTTTCCAGACACCTTAGAATATCTTCTCATTTTCCCCCTTAAAGCTCCTACCCAGCTGAAGCAGTGTTAATATACCTTTCAAAATACACTACTACACAGAGACGCAGGAGACTTGCGGAAGAGCAAATATCATACACTGGGAAAATCCCCACGAATTCCTATATTAACAGGTATTACAACTCACAAGGGCCGGATTGTACCCAGCACCTCGACTAATTAGCAAAACAAATTCTTTTGTTAAAATATACACGCACTCAATTAAGGCTTGGGCGTCTCTTTCCAGCATCTGTTCGCATCCTTTTGACAGGATTGGCCCAGCCAACATTCCCACCACTGCTGTGCACCTGCTGAGGAGACTGGCTATTCCACCCTTGCTGTTGGGTAACCTGCTTCACATCTTTGGCTATCGAAGCTTGTGCAGGGCTTCTAATGCCACGACTGACGCCAGTAGGTGACACAGGACCAGCTGAACCGTTTCCCGCCTTGAATCCCAACTTTTCCCTGTCCTTTCTCTTCTTTTTGCAAATAACAAGCTCCCCTGGATGAGCGAATGGGCGTGAATCATCTTGTTGGCCAAGATCCCGGCTGCTGCTACTTCCAAGCCTTGCCTCCTTCTGTGACACATGGCCCCTCGTTTTTGTGTCTTCATGTATTGGTCCACGAGGCTGAGGCTTCTGAGGACGACTAGGCTCAGGTTCTGCACTACTCGTTGCTTTTTGCCGCCTGTTTTGACCAGTAAGCACTTGTTTTGAAGATGAACCATGTGCAGAGCCTGAGGCTGCACTCGTGAAAGAGAGAGAGTTTTTGGCTTCTCGGAAATCATTCTCTGGAAACACTATCTTCAAGATGTCGAAGAAAAGATCATGGACTTTCCTCGCTTCAGATCTCACCTGTTCCATGATGTTTTCACCAATCACTTAGTTACGTGATTAACAGTAGCATACAATACAGGTAGCTGGAACAAATGCACACACATGCAAGGCCAGGCAAGGAAGGGTAGGGTGTGGGAGGCTGAGGACAAAAACAATGCTTTATATATCTAGGTGTCTAAATTGTAGGAATGCATCAAATTAAAGACCAAATTGTTTATAATCCTCCTGTTTTTCCTTCCAGAAAAAAAAAAGTATATCATGATATCATCAGAAATAATATCTTGAGAATGACTTCAAATTGTACCAGGTGGCAATAAACTGAAAATAATTTTCAAGATTATGCAGTATAAGCAAAACCTAGCAAGAAAGAAGTTACTAACACGCATACCATAACCACAAATTGTAGGAAGAAATATGTAGACATACCTCATATGAATAACCATAATATTGCACGGCACTTCTTAACATAAGCTGCACGTCTGAAACAAATTCCATCACTCCCCTGTACTCTTGGTTGTCAAGACGCATATCAATCTCCGGTAAATCAAAGAGATTATCCTCAGCTCCACTCGTGCAACCAGAGCTTTCAATTCTTTTCCACAGATCAGTTAGCAATGGAATGATCTGTGCACCTTCCCGGTCTATTCTCTTTCGGAGCCTGCTAATCACATTCTTGCACTGCAAACAAGGAAAACTCCAGACACATAAATAAAGAATAAAAATGTGGTGAGGTAAAAACTAGAAATAAAAATCCAGAAAGTTATTTTCAAATGAAAAGTGGTTAATACATTCTATCTTCCTCGTGAAACTACTTAGGACTGCCACTAGGAATACTATTTGAACATAGCATAACACGTACAGGATCAAAGCTAAAAAGTAAAACAGCAAGGATCAAAATCCATGTAGACCCAAAGACAATGCCAGTTAAAGAAAGGGCTAAATGCACTAAACCCCCCAGAACTTTACCCTTAGTTGCACTTTGCCCCTCTATTTGATATTTCAAGACAAAAGTACCCTTATTTATTTTGTTTGTTTTTTGTTCATTTATTCCCTTACTTTTCCTTTCCCACTACTTCGTTTTGTTTTCACATTTTTTCTTCTTTTACTATTTTCTTTTTTTTTTCACCTTCTCTTATGTCACTATTTTGTTTCACTCTCCCATTAGTATTACTAATTTGTACATTTATTATAATATTGTAATTATCTTTTACTCATAATTTCATTGTTTTTCATTTATTTACACTATCAGAAAATTCAAGACAAAGTGTATAGCATAAAAATTAATATATGTCTATCAAAATGAAAAAGTGTATATTACTAGTAATTTAACAATTTAAAAAGATATTAGCAAATTAAAATTTTAAATTACTTAATGTTTAAGAAGTATATCCTAAAAAATTAAGTAACTAACATTTTTGTTTACTTTTTTTATTTATAGTTGATTAACCGCTATGTTATTAAGATTTGAATTTGCTACTGTTGTTATTAAAAATTAATTTATTCTAAACTCTAGACGTATTGCTTTAAGTAATATATGAAATAATTTAAGAGCATAGATAATATATACTTTATTATAGTATAGACTTTATAATAATTATTACTTCGAATAACAAAAAGTACAAAAAAGATAGAAATAAATAAAAATAAGTTTAAGAAGATTAAAATTAATATATGTATAATAATAGCAAGATAAAGAAATAGTTCATCACATGAGAAAAGGGAAAAAAATAAAAAAATATAAAGAAAAAGGTCAAAAGAGGAGAAAGAGAAATAAAATAATAATGAATATGGAATGGGCACTTTTGTTCTAAAATATAAAATAAGGGGGGCAAAATGCCTCTTATTGAGTTGAGGGAGGTAAAGTGCAACTAAGGATAAAGTTCAGCAGCAATTATAAACCATACTACTAAACATCATCACTGGTATACCTCAAATTTAATGTGTCCAAACCTACACCTTATGTTCCAAGAATAAGTGCAACCCTAAGGGTCTGTTTGGTTGGAAGTAAAATATTTTCCTTGGGAAAATATTTTCCATGGAAGTAATTTTCCATGAAAATCATTTCCCTTTCATCATTTTCAGGTGTTTGGTTAGCTTATTGAAAATATTTTCTTACTTCATTTTTCTGGTGTTTGTTTAACTTTTGAAATATTTTCACTTTTATCTCTATCTTTACTTTCTACACATTATAACTACATACTTCTTCCCATGCAAAATAAGAAATTTTATCTCATTGTTTAACTTTAAAAAATCTTGGAGAAATGTATATATGAATAAAAAATATCTCCTTAAGCAATAAACAAATTCCTGGTCATTTAGTGTCAAATATCAATCACATGCAATGCTTATTGTGACATATATCTTGCACTCTCACTGCTGAAAGTTTCTCTAGAAAAGAATGTCCCTATTATACATAATTAATTACTAGCATAGGATGAGCAGGATGAGATTTTTTTTTTTTTTGAATATACTAGGGGAAGGGTTGAGTTGGGTTGGGTGGTACGGGGGAGGGAGTGTAAGGAAGAGGTCTTGGGTTCGAGTCCTCCTGTTTACACTAAAAAAAAACAGAACATACTACAAGATGTTTTTAGTAAGTTTGGAACATACTACAGGCGAGATGCATGCATTTCGGAAAACAACTTCAGTAAGTTTGGAAGGGAAGTTGTTTTCCATAAGATGAGTGAAAATATTTTACATAGGAAAATGTTTTCAGTAACTTTTGTGCAACCAAACACGGGAAATTAGGAAAATATTTTCCTAGAAAACATTTTCACCCGAAACAAACGGACCCTAAAAATTACATATATACACAAGAAGGATGGCTAAATCTGAAATAGACCCCATGGTACCTAATCAGTTAAAACTAAACTTAAAAAGGCAAGAATGATAAGATCATATCAAAGCATCTCTAACCCTCAAAAGCATTAAAATATGCAAAATGAAACCAGTATTTTGAGCCCCAACCTAGACCTCTTCACAGATATTCTGTGTCTGAATCAATCACAGAGACAAAATCGCTATCAACTGAAGGGACACAACTTCTCATTGCATTAGATAACTCAAATATTGTCTGCCATAAACTCTATTGTGAAGTTCTCAGATATTATAGGTGCAAGTCACCAATGTGTACATTAATATGATTCATCGAGGCTACAAATTTACAGTCCTCGCATTCAACTTACCATAGAGAGGATTCTACCAATAATGACATACAGCACTTGGAATTACTGATCTAAAACTTATCATTAGCACAATGCTAAGTGATTATTGAGGATATCGAAACTAATAATAAAAAGGTGGCGCTTTAAATTTCAATGTGAAAACTAATATCACAGAAGTAGCATCTTAAACCTCATTAGAATTCTACCAACCATTAGTTAGCTAAACACATACAACAAGAAGAAAATCAAGAGCAGGCAAATATAGCATCTCAAAGTCAAAAGTGTATGTACTAAGTAAAAGAGTAGATCTTTTACAGACCTTTTTTTGAATGATCTCAGTCATCTTTGAACCACCAGTTGATGTCCCACTAGCATTTAAGCCCTTACCATCCAAGTTTTCCCTCAAGTGATGAACAGTGTCATCTGAATGAGCAAACCTTCCAGATTTCAGCAGACCAGGCATCTTAGGTGTATTAGGTAATTTCCGGGGGTTCATGTTCCGTCTATTCTTCATAGATGAATCAGTTTGCTCCTGCTTCAACATGGCAGAGTCTCCAAGCAATTTGCGTCCACGGTCATTCTTGAATTGAGACTCAAGTTTTTGATCCACCTGATATTGTATTTGAATAGAATCTCCACGACGAAGAGATGGCTTCTCATCGACCCTGTCTGCAACAAGGCGCGGCCTAAGGCGTATACTGCGTTTCCTTTTTATTTTAGGTTGCAATACCTGTTCCTCTTCACCCTCATCACGATCCTGGTTCCAACTACCAGATTGCTGGACATCCATATGAGAGTCTCCAGACACAGCAATTTCTCCTTCTTCTAGATCATCAGGCTGGAAAACAAAAGATAAATCATCTCAGATGCTTCCATAATGTGACTAATATAGCCCTGACCAAAATAAAATAAAATAAAATAAAAGGCAACATACAAGCTTCTTTGAGTGAGAACCCGGTCTGGCATCTAAAGCTGAAAGTGAACCAAACTTCTGAGAAGACACAGAAGGTGACACGAGTTGCGTCAATCTTTGACCATCCATGGATGAACCTGATGAGCCCGCTTCTTCGAGCATCTGCATATCCTTATTGCTATTTGAAGCTCGAGGGTATGCATATCCACCAGTCGAAGGAATAATATCTTCTTCTGATTGGTCTTTATTACTTGGAGGTGCCCCAACAGCACCACTAAATTCATCATCTTCAAATTCCCCAATTTCTCCCTCCTCTTCACGTACAGAATCTTCATTCCTCTCCTCGGAGCTAGCTTCAGAAAAATCTCCATTGTCATCATCCAGTTCTGTGTATATAGGAAGCTTCTTTGCCTTAGGTCGCCCACGTTTTTTCTCACCTTCAGAAGCCATGCCACTAGCTTCCCCGCCAATACTTCCACCAAATAAGGTGCTTTTTGATGGTTTTTTGGACAAATTAGCAATCGTAGCATTCACTTCCTTAGTATTTGCACGAAGCCACTTTGGAACCTGATCGTACCTTGTCATCTCCTCTGTCCATTCCAGATCTTCATCCATCTGATCAAAAAGCTCCACCTCCTCTTCACTCCTAGCAATCATCCTGTTCACCTCCTGAAGTGATGGAACATCATGGACTGTCTCCTGATATCGTTCTTCATCATGTAACAACGTCTCCAATGTCATACGTCTCTCTTCATGTGTAGTCCTTTGATCGAACCGGCCAGCATTTATAACTTCATCTGCCATGTCGATCTTGTACTGCTGAATGTTATTCCGTATGAGGCTTTCAATTGACCCCATATACCGGTCCTTGCCAACCAGATCATCATCAGAATCCACTGTGCCACCACTCCGAAGTTCATCCTCTTTCTGATGGCTTGATATCTTATCAACCACTGCTTCCATGTAAAGAACTTTTACTTCTCTTGTCTGCCCAATGCGATGGGCTCTAGCAACTGCCTGTTCCTCATTCTTTGGGTTTGGATCAGGATCATAAATGATGACTGTGTCAGCAGACTGAAGGTTCAGACCGCGCCCAGCAGCACGTATGCTAAGCAAAAAGATAAAACAATCAGTATTGGGGCTATTAAAGTCCACAATAGCAGATTCTCTGTCTTCTAAGCTGGTTGTTCCATCTATGCGTCTGTAGACAAGTCTTCGCCACTGAAGATACTCCTCAAGTATATCTAAGAGTTTCGTCATAGTACTAAACAGCAATACCCGATGCCCACTCCTCTGAAGCTTTATTAAAATCCTATCGAGAATCCATAATTTCCCACATGATCTTACAAGAAAATCTCTAGAGAAATCATTAAAATAGGGGTAATTAAGCAATGGATGATTGCAAGCTTTGCGGAGTTCCATACATCTGTTGTTTAAAGTCTTGTATGTTTTGGGCTGGTAAATTGGATTTTTCTGAGCCCTGCGCTTCTCATCTTCAGGATCAACTCGAAGAGTACCAGTGGATTTGATCCAGTCATATATGGCACTTTGAATAGCTGACATTCTACATCTCAAAATAATGGAAACCTGCAATGGCATTGAAATGACAAATAATCCATACAGTAAAGTTTAAATTATGAAAATTTAGAAATGTACCTTGGGAGGAAGTGAGCCTTCTACATCTTCAACACGCCGTCTAAGCATGAAAGGCTCCAGAATTTGATGAAGTCTATGGATGATGATGACTTTCTTTTCGGTCTCGAGCCAGTCATCGTCCGCATTATGTGCAGGACCTTCTTTCTGGAAAGGTTGAGAGAACCAATCATGAAATGCTTTACGATTATCAAACACTTCTGGAAGTAGCAGATTCAAAAGCGACCATAGCTCTTTAAGATCATTCTGCAAGAAAGAAGATAAAAATCAATTATATTTCATGTAACTCTAAAAGAGTAAAAGGAGAGTAAAAAATAAAGTAAGAAGCATCATCCAAATCTGTTATGACTTTTTCTTTGTTCTATGCTACGTCTCATTGTTTTTCTTTGGCTTTGCCTTCCTCATTTCCTTCTGAGATTCTTTCTTAGCATCTTACAGATATAGGAGGAGAAGCCAAAGTTGCACTAAATAGTGACATCCCACACATGAAATGTGCAAAGGATGTGCGAAGTATACAAATCTGCATGTTTCGTTATTTATGCATCCATATGGCAAAATCAGTTGATATATTAACCAGATATGCATGCCAGCCTGAGCAATTAATGACTTAAATTAAAAGTGGCATTAGAAAACATTTACCATTGTGTTTTCACCCTAAGATTGCAATTTTATGTAATTGGACAGTCACCATACAGAGTACTGTTCCAGAAATAATTAGTCTTCATGGAGCCTGATTAGATTATAAGGACCCCAAGACAAAGAAACAAATAAAAGTGCATCATGGTTTAGTCAATAGGTAACTCTAAAAATAGTTCATAACAACCTGCTTCTTAACCTTTCTTTTTGTAGAAATGATCCTTATATTAAATAAGAAAACCACTAACATGGCTAGTAATCTCTAAAACATGTTATATACCATGCTATTGCACAAACATTCAACTAAGCTTTTACTCATAAAATCTTTAAAAAACGGGTTTTTGAGTAATATCACAAATTTACCAGGAAAAAATAAAATGAAAAGCAAACATATTGGGCAAGTTCTCAATTGTTTCTGATTATTAGAAGCAGATCAGAAAATCAGAAGCGTCTGTTCTGTTGCTTTTGATCTTCAGCTATTTTGCCTCCAAAAATGCTAAAAGCATATTTTAAGTACTTGAGAACATAAAGTAGCTTTTTCTAAAATCAAAAGCAAAAAGGTATTTAAATCATTTGAGCAACAGGCACACTGAAGAATGAATGAGTTCATCACAGGTACTTTTTTATTCCTTTGGATTCATACTTAGCCTTCCACCTGCCAGCCCCGCTGGAAGAAAACTAATAATATTGAGGACCATAAGACAGCTGAAAACAATCATTTATAAGTTAAAAATCTTACTCCTTTAAGAATTAAAGAAGAACAACTACAATGAGATTCTTGTTCCACAAAAATGACAATATAAACAATTAATAGCCTTAACCAACCTGCAAAGGTGTCCCTGTCAGAAGCAAGCGTCTTTGGCAGCGATACCTATCAAGATCACGAGCTAGAACTGACTCCCTGTCCTTCATTCGTTGTGCTTCGTCAATTATGATATACTTCCAATCCACTTTAGAAAGTTTTGAGCGATCATACATAATAAACTCATAGGTAGTCACAAGCACATTAAATTTCATTGCAGAAACCTCCTGAATGAAATATCACGAAGTTCAGGGAACTGATAAATGTGAATGATGGAAGCAAGAATATAAAAGATGCAAACTCAACAGCCTGACTTACTTGAGAAAACAATTTTGATCGTTGGTCCTTTCCACCAACATAATAAATACAGCTCACATTTGGAAGCCAATTGTGAAGTTCACTCTAAAATACAAGCTACATTAGATAAATAAAAAACTTTACAACTCCAAACAAGGATGTAAGGGTAATTAAAAGAAAGCCAACCTTCCAGTTAACGAGAACAGCATTCGGAACTACAATAAGGTGTGGGCCATAATTTCCTTTGAACTCCATGAGATAGGCAATTAATGACATAACCTACAGGCGAAAAATCGAAAGAGAAAAAGATAAAAGGAGTACTCCAATTATCTGGTATACAAATTCAACAATAAAGGGAACCATAGCATAAACCAAATATGACAGAAGGCCACAAAGTAATGATCAGCAAAATTCTTCTTTTTCCTTGCTCCCAAAAAAAAAATTATAACCAAAAAATTCTGAACCACCAACATATTTATACAATAGCCAGTCACCTGCACTGTCTTTCCAAGACCCATCTCATCTGCCAAAATTCCATTAAGTTTATTGTTGTACAAAGAAAGCATCCACTGCAAGCCAACCTGCATTATTTAAAGAATTGAACACGATAATCAACTTGAGCATCCAGTTTTTGAGAAGAATGTCAGCACTGTATGAATATTGAAGATATTGCAACTTACAAGCTGATAGTCTCGTAGAGTTCCAGCTCGCAACATTGAAGGCTGCCTAATAACCCTTTCATTCACAGCATGTGCAAGATTATAGTACCTGGTGCAAAAGAACGAAAAATGACACACTATGCACCTATATTGGGAAGTACAAGAAAATTTCACAGTACCCTCCAAAACCATTGAACAAGTAAAAACACTAGAATCTCTTGCCATTTGCAAGTAAGAATCTGCAGATAAACTACAGTTGAAATCAGAATCAAATGACAGATGCATTCAGTACAATGCAGCCCAAACACAAATTAGTACTGCTAAATTCATATCCAGGAAGTACAAAAGAGGCTTCAATTGTAACGACACTGAAATCATATCCAGAAACTGCAAAAACTGCTACAATTGTCCATACAACATAAATGCCAATGCACAACCTAATCAGATAAAAAACAAACTCACTTGTTGACAGATGAGCTATCCCTCGGGGCATTCATCTCAGAGAACCGATTCCTGATCATTACTTCCTCCCTGGCACAGGCTGCTGCAGATCTTACTTCTTCTTCAGAGAGACCCTTTTCATCCAGAAGCACATGTCAGTGACGACTAAGAAACCAATCCAAGTACATACAATGTGAGAAAAAAGTGGGTAGACAAAATTACTAAAATCAACCAAATTAGCATATCACATGACATGAATAGAGCGATAATCACAGAAAAGGGGTAGTTAATGTACAAATAGGTCCCTCCACTCCCAACAGTTTATTTCTGATACAGTTTCAATGAAGGGAACATGGTATAAAGTCAAGAAAATCAGTTGCTTTTTCTTCTTAAACATCTGGTTCATGAGAAAGTTGGCAAAAGACTTTCTTGGAGGAAAATATTTCCTCCTTTTTATGTCCAGCTAATTTGCAGGAATTAGCATGAAAAGGTGATTGCTCACTCATCCAAATGACTACCAACTTTGACTTTAATTCTCTCCGTTTAAAGGAATGACTTCCCTTTTTTTCCCTTCTTCCAGTCACATTGACAAACAACTTTCCTTATATTCAAAAGTGGACTTCTCCTTCTGTTCTGCCAATAAGTATAGTGTCGAAAGCCAATGATGTACCACTTCAAAGGACTCATAGAGATACAAAGCCAAAGACAAGCAACTCACCCTTAACCTGTTTCTTCAGTCTTTCTTCCCTTTCTACTTTTTTCTTTCCTTCCTTTGTTTCTCTTTTCTTTTTCTTTTTTTTTGGGGGGGGGGGGGGGGGATTGGGGGGATGAGAGGATGGTAAAGTTGCAAGAGTCAGAAGATGGTTTACCTGAGCTCGAGCAGCAACTGCAGCAGCATTAGCAGCCTCTTCCACCTCCTGTTGATTTTTTGCAGCAGTAATTTTACCTCCCAGTCTGTGAAGATACTCTTCTGTCTGAGATAAAAACGATGAGAGAACCGCATATCTCTCTGCAGCATCGCCAGGGATACTAGTCTGTTGCTCAAGCAACATCTCCCTGTATCTCTCAACATCGTTATTCTTCAAAGCCTCCATCCTTTTATTGCGATCATCATCCTTTCTCTTCGAGAACTCCCTCAACATCCTCTCATGATATTTAGCAACTCCCCTGTTACGTGCAGTTCGAGCATCACGAATGGCCCAGTGCGCCTCAAGGAGTTTCTTACGCCACTGAAAAATGGACTTCAGTTGCTTTTCTCTCAAGGCCTTCTGTGAGGCCTGAACTTGCCTAGCAAGTTCCTGTCGTTGGCGCTCACAAAGCCGAACAAACTTCCTATACGGCCTCTCAGGCATTGCCATTATATCTTGCTGCTGTTGCTCAATCTCATCTCTCAAGCGAGCCTGAACATCCGCCAGTTGAAGTTTTTTCTCTTCTATTTGCAAACGTAAAACAAGATCTGGCCTGATTCTTTTCCTCTCCAAATTTACAGCCAGTATATCACCAATCTTCCTAATATTTTCTTCCCTCTTCTTTCTGAAAATTTCCATGCCTTCCTCAGCAAGAAGATCCTTGATGTCATAAGCAAGAGTAAGGTTATTATTGTTGTTCATCATCAACGATGACCCAAAAGAATCATGTTTCCGAGTAAAGACAGGAAAATCAAACAGTGGTCCATGATACTTTCTAGTTGAACCAACATCTTTAGGTTGAGTGACATTTCCTTGTACAGGTTTTTTTGCGGGTGCTGTATCAGGAATAGCTGCCTGTGAGGTAACTGCTTTGCCCCTCTCTGCTGCAAATTCATTTCTGATAGGAAATTTCTGATTTGCACGTTCAACTTCTGGCTCAGATTTACCAGAAGATCCAGTAGTTTGCTGCTCCTCTTTCCGAACAGAGACCATAGGTGTAGGTTCCTTCACTGGCACTGCCAGACTTTGCACATTAACTGCAGGTGCAGTTGCACTCTCATCTCCTGCAGCTTCATCCTTTAATCTGTGTCGTCCATCACCATTGGTTGCCTGCTGAGTAGCCTTGTCACCCAACTGAAACTGCCTCTCATGCTCTTCTACATTTTTAACAGCAGATCTTTCTGGATTAAGAGCTCCAGCAGGAAGAAGCATCTGCTGCATCTGCATCTCCAGTGGTGGTGGTGCAATAGCTTGGAGTAATTCTCGTGGCAGAGATCCATCTCCTTTCTGTAAGCAGGAAAAAGATACCTCAAAAGCATGTTAATGCAGCCTAACAAGAAAAGTATAAAATGCATAGCATGCTTACAAAATACACAAACCTTAAGGCGCCTGAAAGCAAGTATTTGTGCTTTGAGAACATGCAGTTGCTGCTTTGTAAACCCTAGGTTCTGTTGCTGCATCTTGGCTCCTGTTCCATCCTGAGAAGTAGAGGTATTTCCCAGGATCCCATCATTCGATGAAGCCATAGATTGTGAAGAAGATCGATTTGGCTGCCTTCCGTATTGCATCTGCAAAGTTTCTGGCCCGATCTGTGCACCTTTGGCCAGTAATGCATTATCCAATCCCTGCTTTAAGTTCAAAGGTGAGTTTGAGGGAGGCATCGGAGGCATTCCATTGGCAATTGTATTTGGCTGTCTTGGAGGTAACTGGCTGTCTCTTCCATGAAGGGAAAACTGCTGCAATGGGACATTACTGGAGTTACCTACCACAGCTGCACTGGGAGCTGAACTGGGAGAAGCAGATGAAGAAGGGTATCTAGCTTTGACCGAGCCAGACTGCGCAGATGCATCACTTGATGTGTTACCACGAGGAGAACTTTCATTGGCCACCGTTGGTGAATTAACTGGCTGTTTTTGCACATGAAGAGATGAAGCCTGTACGACAGCATTGCTTTCATTTGCTTTTTGCTGTGAAATCATACGAGACTGCATGAGAAATTGTGCAATCAGATTTGCATTTGCAGGATTTGAAAGGTCAATATTACGCTCAAGGGCCAAGGCCTGCATTTGTGCAGCCATAACATTAGGATTGTTTGCCATGTTCTGAAAATTTTGTTGAGATTGTGGTGCAGGCATGGGCTTCACCGGCACTGCTTGGCCAAGTAATTTTGGCTGGTTAGGAGACTCTGAATCAGCCCTTTGATCTGGTAGATGCTGTTTAGCATGGTCCCCTTGAGTCTCACCACCACGAGTTACATGCTCGACTGATTTTTTTGAAGATGATGCCGAAGGCTGATTAGCCGCCTGTGCAGAAATGAGCTCCTGCATCTTCATATTTGCCATCCGCATTTCTTGATCCTTGCTAGGAGGGCTGAACATCCCCATTTTCATTTGCTGTTGAGGCTGCATTCCTAGAGGTGATTTCTGCTGGGCTGCCTGGAAAGCATAGTAAGCATGATGCACTGGGTTCAGTAAGTGTTGCTCAAAGGCCTGACTCCTACCTTGACCCTCCTCTCGGCCACTGGAAGGGATTTGCTGTTGGCCAAGATCCATAAACTTCCTAGGCTGTTGAGGCAACTGCATGGAGCCTGAAGGCACAGCAAAGTTGCCTCCTCCCATCACTCCATGGATACTTCCAGCCTGATAGGCTAAAATGGGGTCATTCCCTTCAGGTCTTCTAAGGAACTGCTGTTGTAAGGACTGCATAAAAAATGTCTCAAAAAACCATGCATACATGAATGTCTCTCAAAAGAGCCAATTAACCACCAATGGTTCAAGAAGAAACAGGCACAGTTCAAAGTTTATAATACAAAGAAGAAGCTATTTGATAGACAGAAATTCTAGAGATCAAAATTCAAAAAGGAATTAATAAAATTCAGACGCTACAAGACAAATAACAATAACAGAAGTTCGGTTGTAATAGTCACTTCATTAATTTTTGCACTTTCCAAGTTAATGAAATTGCACTTCATAGACACAAACCTATGTTGAGAAAACAAGAACGCCAAGAGAAAAAAGAATATCCATCTGCAGTAAACCAATAAAATTAGGAAAGTTCAATAGAATACCATAACCACAAAGTTGATGAAATGACCAGTCAAAACTGTATAATAAGTCCCAAGCAGAGATCATCCAAAAAGTGCTGACTTCACTACTTCTCCTGTAATTTTTTCATCCAAAAGAATTTTTTCTTGTCTGTAATTCACGTTCAATGAATCTATATCACTTTAAAGACAATACATCTATTAGTTCCTGGAATTTTTTTACTAGATACCACATGATTTCATCTTAAATATTAATTCGTCCAGTGTGTAATTTGTCTTGCATGTAATTTGTCCCTAATGGGTCTATTTCACATTAAACATGATCAAATGTGGAAATCCTCCAAACTGAGCACTGAAATAAGACAATCATTGATGTTAAAGGAGGCACCCTGGAAAGACACAAATGGACGAAATGCTACATCATCACATGCACATCAGAACCCAACACTAAATTGAACAAAAACACTGTTAGTTAACAATATCAGAGCGCCTCTCGTCAAATCCCAAGAGTTTGGAACTCAATGATGGTAAAAGCTCCACCACTACCTAGCTAGGCAAAACAAATCCCAGTAAAACCCACATTCATGCAAACCTTACCTTTGACACAGAACTAATACTGCAAAAGCATACCTTTGGGACCCCCTTGAAAATTACAATCAGTCTTCTAAACAAAAAAAAAGAAACCAGGCAAACTTGTACATTATTCAACATAAGCAAACACATATGCACACAAAAAAGTGTAGGTGCCTCATTTATACCCTTGGTCATTGCTGTTATCAACACTGCGTCTGAAACTTCCAAGTCAAAAACGATCAAACTCAACTACCAGCAACCAATAACTTCCAAGCTAGCTAAACGAGGACTATAACAGCTTATCCCCCTTGAATTCAGATCCAATGTTTCTAATCCACCATATTTGTAACAGGAACCATAGGGAAGGGGGGAGGAAAGCATATCGTCAAACACATCAACACTATTCTATCAAATCCCTGAAGCCAATCAATGACTAATATGAAATTTGATTACAACATCAGTACAAATTTTGCAACTCACACCTAAAACCAACCAGCTGAAAAGTGCTAATTACAGAAACCAAAAACCCAAAATCACTAACAGAAAAATGTGAAAATAAAAAAATCCAGTATTAAGCATGTAAAACCCTAACCTGTCTTTGCTGCTGCTGCTGCTGCTGCTGGTCAAGTCCCAGCTGAGACGTCGACACCCCAGAAGAGGAGGAAGCAGGCGACGCCGCCGCACTCCGCCCATGCCCACTGCCCTGCTGGGCCCCACCACCCCCAGATTGCATGCAGAAATCTCAACTTTTTCCCCCAAAAAAAATTAACATACAACCGTTAAAAATTAAAAACCCCCCAAAAATATTTCTCATTCAGCCCAAGAAAACCAAAAGGCCCAACCAAAACCCTCCAACAAAATTTCAGGCGCGCAGGTTTTCAAACAAAATATAAAAAAGGAAAAGAAGGGAAAAAAAAATCCGATGTCGTTTAAGCGCAGCCTTCCCTTTTTTCTCGAGTCCGATCTCAACGTAAAAATTGACGTACCTCTGTCCCACAAGGGATATAGATACAAATGCCCTGTATCTATAATAAAGCACCCGCCACCCCCATTTTTTGCTGTTTAAATTTTTTCTCTCTCTAGATTTGAAAACCAAAAAAAAAAAAATTACAATTTTAATAGAGCCAAAATATTGCAGAGAAATGAAGAAGATAGATGTGAAGCTGGGAGTAGGGTCTGGCGTGGGGCTGGTTCAAGGCGGGAATTGTGGGGCCAGTTACAGATCGATCCTGTAGCCGGCGAAAAGTCACCCCCGACGTTGCCGGAATCTACTGATTTGACTCGCACACACTACACACACTCCACTCAGCTGTTTTTCCTTTATTTTTCCCCCCTTTTTCTTCTCTCTCTCTCTCTCTCTCTCTCCTCTAAAAATTTTTACACACGCAATTGTTTTTTCTAGTAGAGAGAAAGCCCCGAATAAAAAGCCAAGCTGATATATTGATTATTTATATATGGGGCCGCGGGGAGGGGTAATAAATAATTTTTTCCTCTCTCTCTCTCTCTCTGTAAATCTTTTTCCTTTTCTTAATATTTTTTCTGTCTTTTGTCTTTTCCTCGACCAGACAACTTTGGAAATTGGGTGGTTTCAATTCTAACCGTGGTCAGAGTAATTGGTTAAATTGAATTTTACTCTTTTTTTTTTTTTTTTGGTTCAAGTGTTGGTGATTTAAATTCGAGATCGAGATTTCTTATTTATATTTTCCCCTTTTGTATAATTTCAATGTAATTGGTAAATTTTCATAATTCGAGAAAGTACAGTGGATAGAGTGAATAATGATACCCATTTGTTTGTTTCCACGTAATATGATTACTTTGATCAATTTACTATTTTTCTTTCTTACGCATGTCTTCGATTTGTGATATTTTATACCGGAAATAGAATAATTATGTGGATCTAAATTGATAAGGGGATAAACTAAAATTAGACTGTGTCTGTGAGTTTGGTAATTTCAATTATTTCTTTCATTGATTAATGATACTTCACTAACATGAAAAAAAAAATTCAGTTTCTGTTTCTCTCTCTAAAGGTAATTTGTGCTAGAGCCACCAAATGGTGAGTTATGATTTGATTACCACTTTTAACGAAAATTCGTCTCACTTGATCTGTTGAACTCTTCATCATATACAGATAGGATTATTTTTTGTAATTACTTCTTTTTTGACAATTTATGAATTGGTATAACATGCATGATTATCTCGTCTCGATATATCATATTGGTGTTTGTCATATTTTCCTTGTTGTTCGTATGTATTTCTTTGTGCTTTCATTTGTTTTTTTCCTTTTTATTTTCTCCTTAAATTCTTAGAGCCTAACTCTCTCCTACAAGCTTATGTATCTCTACTCTGCATTCCAAGCTCCCAACCTATACTAAAAAGTTCAAAGGAAAATTCTTAAAATTTTTTGAATTCTCTTATAAGTGTTTGAGGCACCCTTTTCTAAACAAGTCTAATTTGCCGACTTCACAATTGAAAGCAGATTTTTAAAATTTTGAATTCTCTTATCAGTATTTGAGGCAAATGTAGTAAAGAGTTTTAGGAAACATCTAAAAACTTGAATTCTCTTTAGGTATTTGAGCAATTTACCCTTTTCTAAACAAGTCTAATTTGTCAATTTTTATCAACTTCACAAATTTCTCATTTGTTGTTCCAATCTTCTATAGCTTCTGTTGATTTGACCATTAACACACTTATTTATTTAGTTGTTTCTCCCTCTCTCTTTCTAAAATATTTTTCACATGACATTGCTTGTGAGAGTGAACCCTAAATGCAAAATGTGGCCTTTAGGGTCAATTTTTAGAAAGTATGTTATTTGGATGTTTGTATAAAATTTTATCGTAACTTACTGTAGAAATTATTAAAATTTTTTTGTGTATTTAGGGTTTGAAAAACTTAAAAAACTTTCTTTTTTTTTTCTTTCTTTCCTCTCTCTTCTTCCTCCTCTCATGCCTGGTTTTTACTCTCCCTTCTCCCTCGCTGCCACCATACTAGTTGCTATTGCCTCTTTTTTTCCTTCTCTCTCTCACTCCCTCTTCTTTTTCTTCTTTCCCCTTTTCCTCCTCTCCTCTTCCATTCAACTAGAGGTCACGAGGGTAAGGGAAAAAAGAAAGAGGGGAAGGGTGTGCTGGGGAATGGGAGATGAAGGAAAAAAGGTTAGGAGAGAGGGTGGCACTAGAAGAGATGCTAGCAAACATGCTGGGAAAGAGGAGGAAGAAAAAAAGCAAAAAAAAATTTTGTGTTTTGGGATATTTTTGATGTGTGTATTTTAAAATTTTGAAATATTTGTAGAGGGTTTCTATAGATAAAGCTGTTAAAATAAAAAATAAAAAAAAAAACCCTCTTAAGCAAACCTTAGTTACTTTACATATGGGTAACAAACCCCCTCCCATGCAAATCCTAGTTACTTTACATATGGGCAACAGAGATTCTCACCGTAAATTCTTTACTTGGTTTTCTTTTTTATTTTTTTTCTTTGCCTTTTCATCAACAAGTTTTTGCTGGGGTAGCAATTGGGAATTTGGGGTGGGCTTTAGTTTTAATCGTGGTTAGAATACTTAAATAGATAGTAAATATTTGCGGAAATGCCCACATAATTTGCAAACCTCATCATTACCTTTTTAACCAACAAATACCGTATGCCATGGTATGGTAATAAATATAGCAAATTTTCTGGATAGTTACTAAACTTCTTGAATAGTTAAGATTTGATCACTCAACTGTTAATAATATGTTTTTCTCCACTGAGTTATCAAAAGTGCAAATTTTAGGTCATTTCATCTAATTCCACTGTTAACTTTACTAAACCTAAAGGTCTACACGATTCAAGAGACATACTATTAATAACTAGATTCGGTAGAGTTAATAGTGAAATAAGACAAAATAGCCCTAAATGTACACTCTTGCTAAATCAATGGGGTAAAACGTACCATTAATATTAAGTAACCAAACTCGACTATTCGAAAATTTTAGTAGCTATCCGAGTAATTTGCTTTGATAAATATGCAACATAAGGCAAACCAATATTGGTTTTTATGAGAGGGAGGATTAAAGGTATTGCCATTTTGTTTCGATTTGGTTAAGTGCTTCTTTGTTGTATAAAATGAATATGGATTTAAATCAATAAATTGGAATTACATCGTCACTTTGGTAGTTTCAATTGTTTGTTCTATTGATTTATGAAATCCAAGTACATGATTCTTGTAGGGCAGCAAACGAACCGAGTCGAATCGAGTTTTGGCCTAATCGAGTCGAGCCTTTACTTAATTTTATTGAACTCGAGCTCGACGAGCTGACAATTTAAAGCTCGAGCTAGAAAAAAATAAAAAATAATTATTTTATTTTTAAACAAATAAATAAAATAAAATTGTTTTCTTCATAAATAATAAAATATTAAGAATATATATGTAATTTTACTATTAAAATAAAAAAATTAAAAAATATATATATACTTAAAAAAATTAAAAATATATATACAAAAAATAAATAAATAAATATATATATATATATATATATATATACTCGAGCTCATGAGCCGACTCGCAAGCTAACGATCTTAATATTTTGAGCTCGAATTCAAGTTCGATTTCGACTCGAGCTAACTCGGTGTAGCTTGACTCGAGAGCGGCTCAGTTCGTTTTGCAGCCTTTAGATCGTTGTATACTTTCGATTATAGTTTCCTTAAAGGACTTTGAAAAAATAACCTATATTTTGAATAAGAAAAAGTTGTCTTCTCTTTCTTTTCCGATGCTATAGCAATTGAATTGTATTGTGCTCTGATTCCCTTACGAATGGTAAATTATGTTTATAAATTGCCTTGGAATGAAGTTTCATCATAGTTGATCCTTCCCCCATCTACTCAACTACCATCCTAACTCCATTACAACTCTTCATCTTAAAAATTCAAGTGTTCAATCTCTCTTTTTTGCCTCGCTTTAACAAGAAGTGGAGGTTAAGAAGTAAAAAAGAAAAAGGGGTAGAAAAATGTTTTAAAGATTTGGCAAAAGTAGAATTCATGTCCAATGTGCAAATTAAACTAACTACTATGAAATTGGTCCATAGAAAGATGAAGGAAACTTTTGGAATGTAGTAAAGAGAAACTCAAATTATCTCATTGGCTCATGAGGCACTTGTATAATTTGCCCTTTTTTCGAAACAACTCCGGATGAAACACGTCTTTCAATTTTCATCAACTACGAAAAATTGCACTTTGTTTTTCTAATTATCTTATCTTCTATTAAAATTAAATTACATAAAAAAAATGATTTGAAGATACCTTTTTTGTGTTGAATAAGTTCATATCACTATCAAGACCATAACCATATGAGCATTATTTACTAACTTGCTTAATGAAGTAAGATTAGTGTGCATTTATGGTACTATAAGTTGGCAAAGGATTTTATTCCAATCATCACATTGTCAACGTGATAACATAATTAAGTGTGCCATATCTTCTAAGTTTGCAAAACGACAATTATTTCAACAGGGAGCAACTGGAACTTCCTTTGCAGCAATGCCATTGGTCCTCAAGCAACTAAGAGTTGAGGTGCAGACCATGATGATGGCAATGGCCAACTTTAGTTTCCAAAAAAAGAAAAAACTTTGCAAAAAAGTAAGTGGTAACCAATCAAATTCTATCAAGAATGAAATTGGAAACGTGATCAAATACAAATTACTTGTAACGTGGGGACTGCTACTAAGGTAAAACCAGATTATGGGGTTGCATGCAAAGCTAAAGCACTTAAATTAAGCCATAGGATTAACTTTCTATTATTTGAAATAGGGTAGGATTAACTTTCTATTATTTGAAGGAGGGAGGAAAAAAAAAATAGCTACTAAGGTAAAACAAGATTTGATAGTTTTACATGCAATGCCAAAGTACTAAAATCAAGCCATAGTATTAACTTTCTACATGCAGTGCTGAAGTAGCAAAATTAAGCCATTGGATTAATTAACTTTCTACCAGCAATGCTAAAGTATCAAAATTATGCGATTGGATTAACTTACTATCATTCAAGATAGGGAGAGAAAAAGGAAAAAGGAAAAAGATAGCGAAGAGAGAAAAACAAGCAAAATTAAGCCATTGGATTAATAAACTTTCTACGTGCAATGCTAAAGTAGCAAAATTAAGCCATTAGATTAACTTTCTATCATTCAACATTGGGAGAGCAAAAATGGCAAAAGCATCCGACCTGCCGGATTCGAACCAGCGACCTAAGGATGACAGCTATCAAACTACAGTCCTCCGCTCTGCCAACTGAGCTAAGGTCGGAACTTGTTCTATTTGATGAACCGTTCTTAATTAAATTGTATCTTCTGTATGCACTGCTTTTAATCACGCAGTAATGGTCAAATTATTCATAAAGGTAAATCTACATAAATTTTTC